CCCCCCCCCCCCCCCACTGCTGGTCAGACACACCTCAGCACCCCTCCATCATCACGTCAGACACAGACAGAGCAAGTTTTCTTTTTTTCAAACTTTTTATTCTTGGATAATGACGCTGCCCAAGTTTCATCACACTTAAGGGGAAACTACCTTTTTTAAGGAGGAAGCCACTTTTTCTGTCATTTCTCAACCGGGCTGGGCTCACTGGTTTACCCGCACGTGATCCTTAGCGGATGGCATAAATAGGTTTGGGCGCCAGATACCTCTGTGGCCTCATAGAAAGTCATTAAAAAGCAGTGTGGCCATCTTGAGCCATTCAGGTTAAAGAGAGAAACTCTAGGAACAGTTACAAATCCGATTTGATCCCGGTCAGTTCACGACATGCCGCTTGCCCCCTCCCCTCCCCCCCCATTCCCCCCCTCCAACGTTGAGCCAGTGTTCACTCATCACGCTACACCTCAGGTATCAGAACCCAGAGGACACTTCAAAGGGGCCTTGGACGCTTCACCATCCCTCCTGCCAGAGATTCATACCGGTCACTTCTATGATCACCGACCGGTGTCCCGACACCCAATATGCCTGATTTGGGAGACCAAAAAAAACAAAAACAAAGACCATCTTTTTTAGTTTAGTTTTTTTTTTTTTTTTCTAGTGAGAGACTGTTATGCATCGCAGAAAAAGGAGTTTTTGAGACTTGCCTTTAGAAAAGGGGCTTGTTGCCCCCCTCTGAGTGTATGCTGAGCCTTTCGGCTCAATTCCTTTTCTGCATGATAAGAAAGCGGAGAGTTGAATGTGAGCCAGTTTTAAATCCAATGCATCGATGCAGGTTTTTTTCTGTCCGTAAAATTTTTCAGAGTGACTCTGAGGTGCTCGATCTCTTCCTTTTTTTTCTAACACCTCTTTGTACAGAACTTTAGGCAGAGCCTTGTTTATACCCTTTTTCCTCCCCTCTTTAGAAGATTGATCAATGTTGTACATATTGTAAGGCGCCATTGCTTGTAAAAGGCATTTTCACCTGGCAACTGTAAGATAATGTGATTATACTGTGAGAGAGGGAACAAACGGGAGACGATATCTGCCATTAATGGATAGCTGAATGTTACTGCGTGACCTCCAGGGACTGATGACGGTGGTCACCTCTCTGAAATAATTCTCAGTGTTCGTTTCCACATTTGGGGAGCCTAATGGACGGCTTCCGACCCCCCCCAAGCTTTGAACACCAGAGGAAAGCCTGCAGGAACCAGAGTGCCATTTGAAAGTCAGTCAAGTGTACTTTTTCTGTAACCGCTAACTCACCTCACATTTAGGAATTGTCGCCGTTATGATGCAATCCCGTCCGCCTGGCGTTCCTGGTGAAACGCGGCCAACACGAAGCTCTCCCACAATGAAGGAAAATAGCATTTAGCCGAATAGCTCATACTGCTTTTACCCCCCCTCGCCCTGTACACCGTCAAGCAGGGGGACCTGGACCTGATATTAGTTATGTGACCCACACGGTCATTGTACAATGTGCATTGGAATTGCTGGGAGAGTCACATGACCCGCTGGTGAACCACACACAAACTATTAATTGTAAATGTGCTTTCTATGATTGTACTTTTTCTAAAGCTTTTCTCTTTTTTTTTTTTTTAAAGGAAAAAACAAAACAAAAAAATGGAGCGTGTTTTTTTTGTTTGTTTTTTTTATTATGCAGGGTTTTTGGATTACTGCAGTTTTGACTGTGTCTGATCCAGGAAGTCAAACCAATGTTTATTCACCCCCCGCTTACACATTTAAATAGATTCCCACCACAACAAAAAAAAGAGGAAACCAGAGTTTAAAATGACTCTTCCTCAAACTTTGTGGGGGATATGAAAGTTCATACTGCAGATCAAGGATTTGCTTTGTTAAAAGGACGTTACAAAGATTGTTCTACTTAAGTCTTCATAATATCTCACATCTTTTTTCACTACAAGAAATGATAAATGTTTTGTTTCGATTAAATCCTCCAGGAATGAGCTGGAAGGATTTGGAAAACTCCTCGTCCCTCCATTCCTCGGATGTCAATTGCTGAGTGAATTGTACTATAAAGACATGAAGAAAAAAACTCCCTACTCTAAGTCAACCCCCATAAGTAAATAATTTGTCCCCTTTGTACCTTTAATACTGACTACAGCATTATTGATAAGTGTTTGATCAGAAGTTCTACAGACTTTCTTCTTTTCAGTCAAACTAAGAATAAAATGTGATTCCACTGTAAGTTTAACATGCTTTGTTAAATGTGTTTTATCCTCCTCCCTTAACTTAACCCAGGTAGCTTTCCCAGAGGGTACTTCAACTGGAAATAGTCTTTTTTTCTCAGCGTGTGACACCTCTGGCTGAACATGTAATTGTGTGTCCTTGTGCACAACTCCCATGTTTCCGTCCATGTTGAATTGTAAATATGTTTAGTTGCTTTATTTATGTTTTGATGCCCAAATCAATCCTTTTTTGGGTTGGTGTTATAATGAATGCGCTTCATGTGATGAAGTGCGACTGACAATGATGACTTCTTACAAGTCTAAATTTAATAAACTGTTCTATACAATTTTGAACGGTTGTGAGTGTGTGTTTGTTTGTATGTGTCCTCGTCCACCCCACCCCCATCCCCCCATTTCCGATGGTGGTAAAACAGGCTACAGTTCACACTTTACTTTTGTGAAAAACAAAAACACTCCAAGCACCAAACACAGAAAAAACTATTTATATTACTATTTATTCTGCTTTTTTATTTGTTTACACATTAAATATATCTAGTATGTGGATTATATGTGTGGTAAAGCAGTGCTGCATACTAAATAGTCAACACAAACAGGATTTAATGATAAAAGTTGTAAATAGTAATGATGAAATTGACACTACCATAATATTGTAACTTGTTCTTTCAAAAAAAAAGAAGAAAAATACTATTATGAGAGTAGTTCAAGACCTACTTCAAATCAAGAACGGTTAACAATTTCAAAGGATAACATAAAGGGAGGGACCATTCAGTTACAACTTAATCATACCCCTTAACTTCAGTCCATAAAGAAAAGTAAGGATACATTCCCACTTCTTAATAATTCTATGTGGATGTTTGTAAAACTGATTAGCTGTCTAGCTAGCGCCAGTTCCAAAGAAAAAAGTTTGCTGAGCAGTACTTAAAAGAGCATTCAGTGATAGATATGACCATTATTGATGATAATCAATATACTGACTTTTTAAGAACATTTTTAAACTGATTCATTAAAACATTTCTGTAAAATCTTAATAAAAACAAGCCACTATTGACATTAACACTAGCATTAGCAAGCTAAGTTAAAATGAGTTTGCTTTGATGATAGCCTTGACAAGAAGTATAGAGCATTTCCGTTGGTGCTAAAAATATAACAGCAGCAGTACTAAATACAGTATTTCTAGTCCTTCTGTTGTTCCACAAAGGTGTCTTTGTAGTGAAGGATGGTTCAAATAAATAATATATTGTTGAAATAGAATTACATTGAATTTTGTTCATAAATGAAAAAAGTAAAGGAGTAGTACATAAACCTTCTGTTGGTATTAGTAATCCTTATAATGATAACAAAAAAAATAACACTTAGAAATAATTTTTTTCATATGCAAACAATATTTTTTACTTTAAGATTTATCTACCAGACCGACTTTTGAAAAACCTGAATAGTTGAGAAGGTTCGGTTCAAAGGTCAAGGTTTTATAGAGTTACTATCTCATGTTTAAACGAAATTATACAAATTCCATCAATAACCCTAACCCTTTTAAACATTTTAGCATAAAACAGGAGATGACTCCTATTTAAAACTTTTAAACAAACTGGAAAAAGACTTGGAAATGGAAACTTCGGACGCAACTCATAGGAAAAGGGCAAACAACGAGGAGGAAGGGACGGAGCAAGGGATGAAAAGGAAGAGAAAGAAAGGGATGGACCAAGGATAAAGGAAAGAGAGAGAGAGAAGTGGAAAGGGGGAAAAAAGAAGGAAAAAAAAGAAAAAACTAACAGAAAGGACCCATGGGAGAAAGGAAAACCCAAAAAGATACAGAGAAAAGGAGACAGGAAGGGGTGGAACCCAGAGTTAATTACTCACCACCTGACAAAGGTATAAAAGGAGAAACAAAGGTGCTGAGTCCACGTTTGCTCGGTGCTTCCGCTTGAGGAAGGGCCATAGAGCCCCAAAGCTAAGGGCAACATATTTAGCATGTTTTGCATGGTTCTAAGTTGTTTTTGAGTGTGCTTTTACTCATTTTTATGGCAAAAAGAGGTATTTTATCCTGTTTTAATATTTTATTGTTGTTTTTAATGCACAGAAAGGATTTAAAAACACTTAACATAAACTAGGAGCTGACTCCTAATTTCACCTAATTATACTCACCTGGGACTCCCGATGCCTGCCAATAAAACCTTCGTACCTGCAGAAGAATCCTGAAAAACCTACTTACCTGTGTGGAACCTGAAAAAAAAACACAAAAAATGACAAAAATACTTATCTGGGTAGCTGGAGGGAGCAAACAAAATGGAGGGAAGTGTCGATAGAGGGTGGAGAGTGCACCTTTACCTTTTCCCCTATGGGGAGAGGCAAAAAACCTTGTGTCTTGACCCTAACCCTTAAACCCAACCCTGCCTTGGGATAAAAGAAATAGCCCCGGATAGAAAAGAGAAAACTCATCTCTGGAAATGAGAAGGTCAATAACTTATAACTAATGGACATGATTTCCTTACATATGTATTATGCTTTAATTATTTATCAAGTTATGTTTTTTGTTTGAAATATTTTTTCCTGAAATTCTTTCAAAAGAATAATGTATAAAAATTGTATCTCAGAAACTGAAGGGGTTTACTTTAAAGGAACAAATTAAGGCTAACTTAAGCTAATAAA